CACGATGTTTCACAAACCGCCGCTACTTATCTTAGACGAGCCCACAGTTGGTGTCGATTCTGTGCTTCGCTGTCGTATTTGGGAATATTTAGAAGATATGTGCAAAAATCATGGTAAGTGACCACGTTTTGTTTTTTATGTATTTGGTTTTATTAAGTTATCAAGTTTTATTAAATGTTAATCCTATTATATAAAATTATGATTGATAGCAATCGTATTAATGATAACTCATTTATTCTAATACTTTTAAATAATTTTGTATTAAAGAATTAATACATCATTTTGGGAGTTAAGTAGAAAATATTACTTTAACAATACAAACATGTTCTTAAATTTTGCATGTAAAGTTTGAATGTTATTTGCCCAAATTATCTAAGACTTGCTTGATTAACTCTTTAGATTAATCAAGTTTAAATTTATAAAACATCAATATAAAGTACAATATGTGTATACAATAATAAAATGTAAAATTCTATATAATATTATTTGTGGTTAATTTGAAGTTATATGATTTAAAACAATAATAATATTCAAAAATAAATAAATGCATAACTTATAAAAGGCCTTATGTTTTGTCAGATTAATAAAAAGCGGTAAAAGAATTTTGCCTTCAATTCTGTTTGAAGTGATTTTTAGATAAGACAAAGAAATTTTGGTCGTTTTTGTCGTTTGGATCTCTACTACAGTATAATCTCTTTTGAAACGATGATTATCTATACATGTATTTCATAAGAGAAGGTTAGAAGCATTTCAATGAGAATACAATCATGAGATAGAATTCATTGGCTTTATTTTGCAGTTCATTAATATTTTGGATCAATTTCTTGTTGTGTGTATTAAACTAGACAATTGATAAACAACCTTGAGCCTTTTAAAGTGGTCATAAACAAAGCTGAATAATTTATGGGATGGGTATCAAAAACACACATGGACAGTTTGACAATTTATTGAAAAACAACAAGAATATTATAAAATATAATTGTATAAATTTAAATATACAATTTTGTGATAAAGTTATAACTATATTAATAATTTCAAAAAATAGGTATAATATAAGCCGAGTATTAGATTTAGTGATAAGTATCTCAAAGAGAGATCACATAATCTTTTTTATGAAACGTGAGATAAATTCTTTCAAATTTTGTCATACATTTCATTGAAACAAAAGTCCTTCTGAAACGTCTCAATGATTATCTCAATAACATGTTTATTGTTAGATCAACACATTTATTATTTGAAAAGTGATTATGGTATTAATTGTCTTGAATTGGAGTAAATATTGAATTATTCTTATGGTATTAGAGTTTCTCCAAATAATAATAGCTTTTATTTTTTAGTGAAAATGTAAATAAATATTTATATAATTTTTAAATTGAGGTTAAGTTCAGGGATTTTTTATTACACACATTTATATGAATTTTTAGTGCAAATTTCTACACATTTTTAACATTGAAATTTTACTTGTTTTATAATTTTATAATACTCTGCAAAACAAATATTAAAATAATTAAATTTGATTTTTTGAACTAATTTTAAAAACATTTATTTCTAGACAAAAAAATTAAATCACAGAAAAATTCTTGATTTAATAATTAAAATATTTATAAAAAATAATTTTAAAATAATTGAATATCTTATATAAACCATAAGACTTGTTGCATAAATAGGGACAACAGTTGTGATAACGACACACTATCTGGAGGAAGCAAACACGGCATCCAATGTTGCATACATACAGTCGGGCTCACTATTAGTGCAGTCAAACCCTAGAGATCTGCTAACAAAATACGAGTGCCGGACACTGGAGGAGGCGTTTCTTCAGATATCCATCACTAGAAAACACGAGACAAGAGTGGAGTCATGCGAAACACCCAAACCTCAAGCCATTGAACAGACGGCCAAAAATAGCCTAAATCTATGTTCGGATCGGAAAAAATTGATTGATTTAAAACACATTAGAGCTCTTCTCTGGAGAAGCCAAATACGAATCTCTCGGAACCCCATAATATTGGTTATGCTGTTGTTATTACCCGTAATACAGATCACATTGTTCTGTGTGTGCACTGGAGGTCGTCTGAATGCCATTCCCATTGCTATACACGAACCCGACTTTGATAATCACTTATCGCATCAGTTCTTAGAGCATATCGATAGGCAAATGATTCGCGAAG